AAAACAAAGAGAGAAAATCAGTGAGTGTTTATGCAAAAGAAAGTGATGTCAAGGCTGCGTTCTTTGCAAAGCAGCCTATGTTTGTGCTTCTGTATAAAGATGCTTATTTCAACACTAACGAACTTAATGATTCTTTGCTTAGTGTTGTTAAATCTCTTTTGCAGGACTTCAAGGATGTGTTTCTAGATGACGTTCCTAATGGTTTACCACCAATAAGAGGAATCGAGCATCAAATCGACTTCATTCCTGGTGTAACAATTCCAAACCAACCAGCATATCGAAGCAATCCCAATGAGACGAAAGAACTTCAAAGGTGGGTCGAAGAACTAATGAAAAAGGGACATGTGAGAGAAAGCATGAGTCCACGTGCAGTTCCAGTGCTACTTGTGCCTAAGAAGGATGGCACTTGGCGTATGTGCATTGATTGTCGCGCGGTCAACAAAATCACTGTAAAGTATTGTCACCCTATTCCTAGATTAGATGACATGTTAGATGAGTTGCATGGTTCTTGCATATTCTCTAAAATTGATTTAAAGAGTGGATATCATCAGATTAGGATGAAGGAAGAAGATGAATGGAAAACAGCCTTTAAAATGAAACATGGTTTATATGAGTGGTTAGTTATGCCATTTGGATTAACTAATGCGCCTAGTACATTCATGCCATTAATGAATCATGTTTTGCGTGCTTTCATTGGCAAATTTGTGGTTGTTTATTTTGATGACATTCTGATATATAGCAAGAATTTAATTGAACATATTGAGCATGTGCGAATGGTACTAAAGGTGTTGAGAAAAGAAAAGTTGTTTGCTAACCTTAAAAAGTGTTCCTTTTGCACAAATCATATTGTTTTTTAGGCTATTAAAGAATGGCCGACACCTAAAAATATTTCTGAGGTGCAGAGTTTTCATGGTTTGGCGAGTTTCTACCATAGATTCATCAAAGATTTCAGCACAATTGCAGCACCGTTAACTGATATTGTGAAAAAAAGTGTTGGATTTAAGTCGGAAAGTGAACAGGAGAATGCTTTTAGTTTAATTAAGGAAAATTTAATTTTTGCACTGTTACTTGCTTTACCTGATTTTACTAAAACTTTTGAAATTGAATGTGATGCATCAGGTATTGGCATTGGTGCTGTTTTGATGCAAAAGCGGCGACCTATTGCGTTTTTCAGTGAAAAATTGACTGGTGCAACACTTAACTGTCCTACTTATGACAAGGAGATGTATGCATTGGTAAGAGCTTTAGAGACATGGCAACATTATCTTTGGCCTAAGGAGTTCGTGATACATATTGATCATGAGTCGTTGAAGCACCTGAAAGGACAAGGTAAGTTGAATAGATGACATGCTATGTGGGTGGAATTCCTTGAGATGTTTCCCTATGTGATCAATTATAAGCAAGGAAAGGAAAACATTGTGGCTGATGCATTATCTCGTAGGTTCTCGAAGATGGGACACTTCATTCCATGTCATAAAACTGATGATGCAACCAATATTGCGGATCTATTCGTCAAGGACGTTGTTCAAATACTTGGCATTCCAAGGACTATCGTTTTTGATCGCGATGTCAAGTTCTTGAGTTACTTTTGGAAGACATTGTGGGGAAAGTTGGGAACTAAGCTACTGTTTTCGACTACTTGTCATCCACAAACTGATGGACAAACAGAAGTGGTTAATAGGACGTTGTCAACCTTATTGCGTTCTATTATTCAGAAGAACTTGAAGAACTGGGAAGAGTGTTTGCTGCACGTTGAATTTGCTTATAATCAGAGCGTCCATTCAGCAACTAACTGTTCACCATTTGAAGTTGTGTATGGTTTTAATCCACTCACTCCTTTAGATTTATTGCCTTTACCTATTGACGAACAAGCTAGTTTGGATGGGAAAAAGAAAGCTGAAGTGGTTAAGCAATTGCATGAAAGGGTGCGACAAAACATAGAGCGATGAACTGAGCAGTATGCAAAACAAGCCAATAAAGGAGGCAAAAAAGTTATATTTGAACTTGGAGATAGGGTTTGGGTGCATATGCGCAAGGAGCGATTCCTTGCACAAAGGCGTTCTAAGCTGCAACCAAGAGGCGATGGACCATTTCAAGTGATTGCGAGGATTAATGACAACGCATACAAGTTGGAGCTTCCTGGTGAGTATAATGTTAGTACTACTTTTAATGTTTCTAATCTTTCTCCTTTTGATGTAGGTGACGATTTGAGGACAAATCCTTTTCAAGAGAGAAGGAATGATGGGAATCAAGATGACAACATATCTACTACATCATGTGATCCATTACACACCCAAGGAGGTCCAGTCATGCGAGCTAGAGCTAAGAAGATGCATGAAGCTTTAAATGGCCTTATTGAGTAGATCTGGGTTGAAAACAACATACAACAAGCAAATAGAAACTTGGATGATTATCGAGGCATGGTAAACATCATTCAGGTTCAAGAGAAGCTTAGTTGAGGTAATTTGCACGGAATTACACAATTTGCGTCAAAATCGCACAATTTTGCTACAATTTGTAGTAAACTGATATTTCATGTTATTTTATGTTATTTTTAGTGATTTTCACGTTTTTTGTATTATTTTTGGACAGAACATTCACTTATTTGAAGTTCAATTCATGGTTATTAGGTTTAGGACTTAGGGTGTTAATTTTCTATTCTGATTAGGATTTGTTTTCTCTATTTAGAAGGCTTGTAACCCTAATGGGGGGGGGGGGTGATATTGAATCTAAGATTTTGAGAGACTTTTCTCTTTGGTTCATTTCAGAACTTTATAGAACTTATCAAGATTATTCTTGTGGCGTTCTAACCTGACTTATCATTTTCGTTCTTAATCGTTCGAGGGTGTGGCGTCAACCAACTTTATACCTCTGGTTCTTGTTGCGTCATAGACAATGGGTCAAGGTTTTTACCTTTGGTTCTTGTTGCGACATAAACAACGGGTCAAGGTTCTACTATAAACCTGGTTTAGCTTTCTTGGAGTTTAGAAATCCCTTGTGCTGTGGGTCTCATTGTTCTCTTTGGAGTTCTCATCATTGGCTCTGCGTCTTTTCTCCGTGCGTGCCAAACAATGGACCTTTAAGCCTTTACCCGTAGAGCCGGCTGCAACTTCCAGAGCCGGCTCTCTACACTTCCATTTCACCAGAGCTGACTACAGCTTTTAAGAGCCAACTCTCTGCATATTTTCAATCCTTTTGGTCTATTTTTAGTGCAGTCCAAGTTTACTTGCAATATTTTAGCAACTTAACTACACACTTAAATAAACCAATTAGTCACTCAAATGTGTTTTGTAATCATCAAAATCATAGGTACAACAATCTCCCCCTTTTTGATGATGACAAAACACTTTGAGAATTAATTAATGAAAGCACATATGTACTTAGCCCAAAGATACTCTAGAAAATGACATTTAATTCAGCATATGCTCTCCCCCTTTTTGTCATTCATCAAAAAGCACATAATCAACAAACTCTTCCTTAATTCATGTACATCAATCTTTAAAGCATTTAAGCATGATAACCATTAAGAAGAGTAATTTAAGCACAACATGCTCCCCCTCAATAAGAGCATACAATCATCAAAATCATAGACAACCATTAAGCATGATAACACAAGTGATGCCATTACCATTCACAAAGCATGATAACATAAGTGATGCAATTTCCATTCAAATTTAAAGACTGACGGAGAGCTGGCTTTAGTCTTAGAGCCGGCTTAATCTTAGAGAGAGAAAACTCTTGAGTTTTTGGGTTGAACCGGCTGTGAAGAAGGTTGAGCTGGCTTTACTGGCCTTGATTGGAACAAGTAAAAGGTTTGGGGCTATTTGGAAGACAATGCATCTTAATTTGATATTTCTTCATTTAACTAAGTTTAAATTGGACATCAACTACTAAATATTGCAACTTTAGTCATATATCAATGTATGCATCATCAAATATCATGAATATAATCAAGGTACACATATCAAAGTAATCAATATGCACAAATTCTAA